CTTATAGATCTAGAGAAATCACTCCTAAATTTCATCTGGAACCAGAAGAGACCTAGAATCGCAAAGGCAATTCTAAGCAGCAAAGACAAACAGGAGGCATCACAATCCCTGACTTGAAGTTATACTACAAAGCAACAGTAGTAAAATCAACATGGTATTGGAATCAAAACAGAGCTGAAGATCAGTGGAATAGATTAGAAGATACAACCACAACTACGAACACACTCAACCACCTTATTTTTGATAAAGGAGCCAAGCAGGTTCACTGGAAGAACGACAGTCTCTTTAATAAATGGTGCTGGAAAAACTGGCTCTCCATTTGCCGAAAACTAAAGCTAGACCCATGTCTATCACCATGTACTAAATTAAAATCTAAATGGGTCAAAGATCTGAATATTAAAACAGAAACACTAAATCTATTGGAAGACAAAATAGGTAGAAACCTTGGAGACATAGGAGTAGGTAAAGAATTCATGAACAGGACTCAAACCGCACGGGAAATACTTCCCAGAATCAATAACTGGGACCACTTCTTATTAAAAAGTTTCTGCATGTCAAAAGAAATCTCCAGCATAGTGAAAAGAAAACCCACAAACTGGGAAAAGATTTTAGTGAACTCTCTCTCAGACAAGGGCCTCTTGTCTAAAACATATAAAGAATTAAAGAAACTCAGACCTCCGAAATTCAAAGATCCAATCCAAAAATGGGCATCTGAGATGAATATGCAATTCTCAGATGAAGAAATGCAAATGGCAAATAAATACATGAAAAAATGCTCATCATCATTGGTCATTAGAGAAATGCAAATTAAAACCACACTGAGATACCATCTCACTCCTGAAAGAATGGCCAGGATCAAGAAAACCGACAACAAATGCTGGAGAGGCTGTGGGGAAAAAGGAACTCTCCTGCACTGCTGGTGGGAGTGTAGACTGGTACAGCCTTTGTGGAGATCTGTCTGGAGATTTCTCAAAAAGTTGGGACTGGAAATCCCATTTATTCCAGCTATTCCACTTCTAGGCATATTCCCAGAAGAACTGAAAGCATCATACCACAGTGATATATGTGCACCTATGTTTATAGCAGCACAATTTGTAATCGCCAGATCTTGGAAACAACCCAAGTGCCCATCAACTGAGGAATGGATAAAAAAGTTGTGGAGTATTATTCAGCTATAAAGAAGGATCACATTGAGATATTTATCAATAAATGGGCGCAGCTTGAGACCATACTCATTAGTGAAATAAATCAATCTCGCATGTGTGAATACCGAATAGTTTCCCTAATGTAAATAATGACTCAAATATATAAAAATATGTGGTAATCATGATTCCCCATTAGGTGGCCTTGAAGCCTTATAAAGTTTTCACTCATTAATTAGAAAGGCTTTATTCTGGGCTTCTTGATATGAAAATATTTGAAGCTAGAGTATATGAAGTTTTATCCAAATATTTCAAGGAAAAAGACACTATGGTAACTGCTATTAAGTCAGGTTATAAGGTGGTGAAGTACTAGGTTGTTGAAACAGTCATGCTGTGACCTCTATTGTTATATTGTTATGTCCTGTTTTATCTCAATCTCCCCCTTATTGTTTCAAAAAAAAATTATTTAGTCATTTCTTATGTTTGTCTTAATTAAAGAAAAAATTCAAAAAAATTAGGATATATAAATAGTAACTCTTTTCGATTTCCTATTAACTTGTTTTGAAGTCCTGTAGTACTCCCACGATCTTGTTTTGACTGATTAGACTCTGTTCCATTCTATATGATAGTATCAAGTTTGAAGACATAGGCAACTACTTTGAAGACAATAAGATTCACTAAGATACCCATTCTGGTTTGACTATTGTCTTCTTTGGAAGTCCTGTAATGTTTACAATGCCTAAGTTTTATTGGTCTTGTTCTCTACTGTTTTGTCCAACTTTATAATATCTAATAAGATAGACAATTCTTTTTAAGGAAACAAGGGACAACGTTGATAACCATTGTTGATAAACTTGTACTCTGTTCTACACCATGTGCTATGTCTATCCTTGGTATTGACTGACAGCTTTGTTTTGCCATATTTGACTGTATTCTTCCCCCCCCCAAAGAAAGTAATAAGCACTAAGGAGTAATAAAATCCAAGATGTGTAAAAAAAAAAAAGAATAAAGGAAAGTTGGGAAGATGATTACAATTTTTTAAAATATCAACTGCTTTAAAACATATTAGCATGTATAATTTATAAAGCATGAAGAAAATAAAGTCAAAAGAATAAACAATTACAAAACAGACAAAATTGAATGAAAAAGTAAGTACAAGAGTGTCCTAGATTTGATTTATTCATTTTTTATTTTAAAGAGGGAAAAAACACAGACAAAAACAAAAAGCAAAAGAGACAAACAAACAACAGCAACCAAAAGCCAAAACAATAACAAGATAGCCTTTCAAAATAAAATGATAGAAACTTAACAATGGTTGTTATATTGCATGTTGTTATCTTCAACAGAGTTGCTTAGATTACCAGATATCGACATGCAAAATTGATCTAATCTTATAAATATTAACTGTTCTTTTCCAAGAACTAATAGAGTTAATAGTATAATCATCTTAGCTATCTTATGTATGTATATCCAAATTGGTATCTTTTTTCTTTTCCCTTCTTTCTTTTCTCCTTTTCCCTGTCCTAGTTCTAGATTTGATTTTGAAAACATAAAAGATAAATACTCCAAGTCACAATCTCCATTAATGTCAATAAGACAGGAAGGAGGAAGGGTGGGGTAAAAGGGGAAAAAGAGGAAGAGGGTGAAAAAGCTAAATTTATTTTTTTAAAAAAGAAAAAAACATAAAAAGAGCTCCTCCAGAACAACATGAATATTCAGATTAAATGGTTAAATCAAGTTCCTGGGATACTGCAAATGAAAAACACAAGCTTAAAGAATCTTTAGAACACAAAACAGAAAAAAACAAAACAACAAAAAAGGACCCGGAAAGTTTTGAGAGAGAGAACTGTTAAATAAAAAAAGGAAGTGAGACTGGTATCACATTTCACATGAGCAGTTCTGAATCTATAGTCTTCATGTTGTTATCCTGAGATTTGCTAGGATCTTTCCTAGTGATTTTAATTTAAATTTTAATGAAAATTTTTAATTAAAATTTTCCTAGCAATTTTAATTTAAATTTTAATAAAAATTTTCCTAAAATTGTTATAAGTGACTTTTAATCATTCATTTATATACTGAGAACACTGAAAAGTTAAATGTAAATAGATTTAAAAGCAAACAGTTAATAAGACTTACTTTCAAAGAAAAGTCTTCAATGGTTAAAAAAAAGCATTTTAAGCTCATAATTCTACACCTAGTCAAATTAGTAAATCTAAGGTAAAATAAACCATTTCAGATATGAAAAAATATTCAGAATGTTTACTTCCCACACATCCTGTCTCTTAGGAACTTAATTAAAGATGTTTTCCCAGGAAAAAAAAAAAGGGAGGAAGCCAACAAAAGAAATGTTTAAACCATTAAATGGAGTGGCGGGAGATATATCAGAAAATAGTACATAGATGAAGACTTCAGGGTTCAAAAGAACAGCCAGTCCAGAGGAAAGCACCCAAGAAATTTAAGAAATTCTTGAAGTTGATGCTTCTAATTGAGAACAACCATGACCCTAAGGAAGGGACATGATATAAATTAAAGACAAGGAATTAGAAACTCTAAGAAATATTTTAAATTAAGAATAAAATTAGTGTAACATTTGGTATGCTCTGTGTACTTTTAATATTATAAAAACATAAATATCATTTATTTGTTTACAAATTTTAGACACAGTCTATTCCCTGAAAGTCATGTGATAGCCCTGTAGGCTACACCCAACAAAAAATGCTTTATTTCATCTATTGCGTGTGCATGTGCATTTCTATTAATTAAATGAGTTTTCAATATTTTGTAACTCAGCAGATTTTATATAAAATTCTGAATTACCATGCATGACCATTCATTGTGGTGTCAACTTGAATGGGTTAACAAAAGCCTAGCAGATTAGCAAAGCAGAGTTCTGGGTGTGTCTGCAAATGATTGACATGTAGGACAACAAACCCGAGCATGCCTGGATGAAATACAAAGAGAAACAAGAAGTGCTCCCATTTTTGAAACACACCTGTCTTCACTGTTGCCAGTGGACGCTGGTCTGTCATTTCATCAGACTGCCTACGTGAACTCCCAATGGTCACTCTCCAATGAGCTTCCAGCCCTTAAACCTCAGACTATACTGTGGCTTTTATCTTCTTGGTTCAGCAGTTACTGGATCCTGCTTTGTTGCATAATTATACATATACAGTATTTTCCATGGATTGCATTTCTCTAGAGAACTCTAACTAATGCACCAGGCTTCTCTATGGACATTCTGCAGCATAGAGTCCACAGCACATGTGCTGGCCAGTTTAACTCAAGCCTGTTTGACCTCAATCACATTTGAAGTTTCAACATCTTCTGTGTGTAAAGCACAAGGGATTTAATTATGTTCTGAATAACAGAGAAACATTGCCTATATTTCTTGACAATATCATAAATCACCTTGATAATATAAAAATTGCTAATGAGGGAAGATAGGACTTGAAGAGTAGAGTACTAATACCTTCATCTTTCCTATTTAGAAAGAACAAGGTATGAATACTTGGATAGATTATTTTAAGTTATAAAAGTCCTAAGTAGAGGAATTAAAATAATAATATGATTATATTCAGATGGCATAGAGAAATGGGCCTTTTCTAAATCCTAGCAAGTCAAAGCAGATTGTCCAAGGGTGCTTTGAAAAGCCAAAAACTAGCCAGGTGAGCATTTTTATCACTGATATGGTACTAATCCCTATAAATAACTTTAAATAGGACAATTTAAAGAGTTTAAAATTCCTTGTATGGATGAGACTATTTGTATATGGTGAGATGTGCTGAGAGTGTAGCTTTTACTTGTAAACTGTCTTTTCTCTTACCACACAGTTGGAGTCAAAAATAAGTATGTCATAAGTTTTGGATAATCAAATGATTAACATTTATTTGGTTTTTAAATATTTGAACTCTACATTGAATAATGACAATGGTTGAAACACATATTAAAGCACAGTGGATAAAGAAGAACAATTAGAAATTTTAGAAGAAAATATTATATGACAGTACAGTGCAATTGTACAGGTTTGATGCAAGAATCAAAATACAAATCAACTGCTGTAGTCAGGGGTTGTACACAAAGAACAATTCAGATCACGACATGGAGTTTATAATATTTTTATAATGGTTACCAGAAGTTAACACAGGAGAATGCAGAAAATCTATCCGTAACACCAACGACATAGATTATTTAGTCAAGAGTCTAAACCCCACGGCAATGTCCCACATGAGTCCAGATAAAAACCCAGAGCTCAGGACAACGCCTCCAACGAGTCCAGCTGGAAGTCCAGAGCCCACAAGAAGGACTCAAACCAGTCTCTTTTTTACGGATTCGTGCCGGGAAGACCCAAGGGTCAGCGGTGGAAGCCAGAAAGTCTATGCCAGCAGGATGAAGGAGCTGTGCTAGTGGGATGAGTGTTCTACACTGGAGCCCAGAAGTCACACTCACAACAAAGAGCAGGGCTGTCCTGAAAGGCACCACAGTTGTCCTCAGCGACACAGAGGCCCCAAGCTCCTCTGACGACAAACACAGTCAGGTACGTGCCAGGAAGCAGCGTGACGAGTTCATCCTGGAGACCAGGCAGCACATGTCTTCCCTTCCGGAGCCAGGAAGCAATGCTTGATGTGAAGACCAAAGCTTCTCCAGGAGAACCAACAGCACAGACAGCAACTCGTAGGAGAAGCCACAATGTCTCCTTAACGCCTCAATCCCTCTCAACACCTCTCTTCTTCTCCACCTATTTATCCTGGCAACCCTCCTCAGGTGGAGCATCTTCTCTCAATGCATGCTGATGTAATCCAGCTGGCGTTAAGTTGACCACCAGTTCTCAAACCATAACATCAACATAACAAAAAAACACCAGCATACATGAAGCAATTTTAAAATGCAACTACATTATTTCAGCTTTAACCAAACCAGGACAATTTTATCCACCACAACTACATGTTCTAAAACATTTTCAAACATTGGAATCCTGAACTAATTCCCCTACTGTGTACTATGTGAGCAGTGACAGAACCAACAGCTGACGAAATCAGAGACAGAGAATTTCTTTGGAGATAAATTTCCTAATGTGCAGCAGCACTCTGTAAGGTAATGTATGTGGTTCTCCCCCTACCATTAGACTAGGATGTTTATTTTGTTAAATAAGTATACGGACACCCTTCCATTTCTATGGGTTCTGCATCCATGGATTCAACCCTACCATTAGACTAGGATGTTTATTTTGTTAAATAAGTATACGGTCACCCTTCCATTTCTATGGGTTCTGCGTCCATGGATTCAACCAATCACAGAGCAAATCTATTCACAAAAAATAGTTCTCTTGTTGTTGTTCCCCAAAGCAATCCATTGTAACAACTCTTTGTATCATATTGGATACTATGGCAATCTAGAGATGATTTAAAGCATATAGAAGGATGCATGGTTATATGCTGATACTATTGCATTTACACACAAAAAAAATTGAATATCTGATGATTTTAGGGTCCCCTGGGGGGACTCGGAACAAACAGCCCCCCATACTTCAGGAATATTAAGGAGTAGTTGTCTTCCTATATGTGAAACTTCTTTATAGGAACTGAAATGGATCTTTAAGTTTTGCTCCAAAGTTTTATTAAAAATTTTAACTGTTGTTCAATATAAAATGTCCTTCTTCCATCTTACAATGTGAATTAGGCTGAGAAACCTGTGGAAAAAATGTGGAGCCTGGTCAGTTTTTTTCTTCCTCATTTGCGACAGTTAGTCCTCATCATTAAATTGATTGGATTAAGAGGTTCACAGAAAGGTGGTTGGATTGTGAGAGTTGAGTGCTGAGATCATCTGTGGATTACTTTGTGACAAATTCAGTAGCTGAATGAGCTCTTGAGGAAGGAGGCCTCACTGAAGGAAGCAGGTGACTAAACACGTGCTTTGAACATCACATCTGTTCTCTGGTGCTATTCATTTCTCTCTCCCTTCTGACTGCTCTGAGGAGAATGCCTTCTCTGTGCTACCCCATGAATGTTCAGCCTTGCCTCACCCCATAGCAACAGAGCTGGCCAACTATGGGCTGAGTGCTCTGAAACCCTGGCCCATAATAAACCTTTGCTTCTTCAAAAATGATTTTGTCTGGTATTTGGTCCCAGCAATGAAAAGCTGTCTGATGCATCACTCAACCCTCTCCTCAATTCTTTAGTATCAGACTTAGCACAGGATTTAGGGACAAGGTCATTGTCATACGTGGCTAGTGACTCTTGCCTGGAGAATTCAAAGAACAAAAGATAGCAAAAATAGTCTTTTTGATGATAGAGCACAGAAAAAGCAGTATTTTTACCAATACTAGGGCCAGAGTATGAATTTCTCAGAATAGTGCAGCAGGTCCTGAAAGGGGGACTCTGACCATGAGTGTCCTGGAATGGACTCATCTAGGCCATCCACTCAGCAGAGAGTGACCTGGAAAAAAAAAAAAAAAACTGAGGTTCTGAGGGCAATCAAAGCAGGAAGTTAAAAAGACTTTGCTCACGTCAAAAGAAATGGAATCAAGTGCCCCAAATACCTATTTTTATGGAGGCTGCTATGATTCCCAAGTTAGAGATTATAAAACCAAAGAAGAGAAGGTAAGTAACTTTTCCAGGGATGAATGGCTCTAGAATATTCATAACTTGAAAACAAGGACTTTGGCTCCAAAGTCTTGGCTTTCAGTTATTCCTCTAATGGACTCAACTGAAAAGCAGACAAGTGTTTGTCAACCACACAAAGGCCCTGATGTGAAGTTACAATCATACCAGACACTAATGCACTTTTTGTGCATTCTATTTATTTTCTATATATTTTCTATACAATATAATCATAGCTAGGATAATTGGTAGACCAGTGGTAGGAACCTATGGCACACATGTTATAGCAGGCCATTTCTATCACTGAAAGCTCTTAAAGGTTTGCCAGCACAGATCTAGAGAATTAAAGTGATACAACTGTCCAGTCATGCCCAGCTAAAGCCCAAGCAATTGTCAAACATGAGCAAGCTCAACAGAGATACTATAAATCAAATTATCCAAGTTAAATAAATGACCATAGGCTTATTATTTCAATTAATGCTTATCATTTCAAGCTAACAAGATTTTAATAGTTTACAATGTGTGACTGATGTACCCTTAAGTCAAAAACTTTCTACAGTCACCAAAGAAATCAGCAAGAACTCAGCTCATGAGTGGTATAAAGATGTCCAGAAGGTGAACCAGGAGGTGCCATGGGAATCCAAGATGCACCTAAATAGATGAAACAGGATCTACCTGGTGCCCAAGAAACATAATGTACAGTAGTTCCAAGAAAGGAAGTAGTGAGCTCTATCATAGATTACAGACTAGGGGTAGAAACTAAGTGATTCACCTGTGCTTTCATCCAGAATTAGCAGAAATTCAGTTAAATAATTGGTCTCCAGCTCAATACCTATATGTAAAATTTTAATATTTTAAGTACCAAATGATCTGGCAAGATATGCCTTGTGATGCTCTTGGAAGGTTAAGTTAGTACAGGTAGCCTATTTGGAAACTATGAATTAATATACCAAGAACCACAATCATTGTCCTAGAAATTCCAATTCTGAGAATTCATTCTAAACAATCATGTACAGGCATTTTAATTTTTAATCATATGAATGTTCAAACTCTCAAGTGTACACTGATGTAGTTAGACAACGATCGAAGAACACTTCGTTGTCAGACAAAGAACATTCTCATTCTCAATGGACACATATTAACTTTGTTTAATATTGTGTCATCTTTTAGTCACTAGCCCACTTCAAATGAATGGATGGAAATCCAATTCCCCTTGCCCAGCTTCCCAGTTTCTTACCTTATCCTTAAGCCACTCTTAAAAACCATATATCCACAATCCTAACTCTATTCTGGTGGCCTCTTCGGAAGCCAAGGCCATGAGGACCCTTGCCTCAAGCTCCATCTTGAAAGAAAAGAAGTGTAGCTTTGTTATGGTCCCTGTAGAAACAGACTAAGCCTTCATTGTTACCAAAAAGTCCAAGCAGATGGCATAATTATTAAAATATTTCTTTCCCATTGCAGATAAGAACAAAGAGATACGAAACATATATACTAGGTTATAGCAATATTTTCCATGGGAAAAATTGGTGAATAATCCAATTCCTTGTCCATAGGAGAATTTTAAATTCATTCTAAGTAACTCTTTACCCACCAGGTTTATACATTGTTCATTCCTTCTCAATATTCTTTAGCAAGATCTTCAGAAATTCATCACCCATGGTCATCTCCCAATGGTTTCTCATTCCCCATTTCTATATTTTATTTTTATCATCATTCTAATTACCTTTAAAAGATATTTTTAAGAATTTTTCTGTAGTTAGCATTGTCTTCTTCCATGAGGATGTAGCCTTCACAAGGTCAAAGATTTTTATCTATTTTGTGTCTGACAGAATCCAATATATTTTTAGCATAACCTGGCATAGAAGTACTTGAAAAATATTTTGTAATAAGTTAATGAATATTTTCCAGGTATTCAACTTATAAAAACATATAGTTCTCTGGAAAAAGAATCTGTATAATTACTTAACCAGAAGAGCACAGATACAATTTCAGCAGTGTTGAACTATTTCATACATGAAGCAAAGACAAAAGAATTTAATTTACTGAGGCAGAATAATTATGAATAATACTTTTCTTAATTTTGAATAACTTTAAGGCCTTTGAAATGTTGTTCATGAATTTTTGATCATTCATTCTAATCTTGTTCATATGTATTAAGTAACATGAAAGGACATTTTGGCTTAAAAAAAGAAACTAGTAGATAATACTATCAATTTAAAACTTTGAAATGCTCCCAGACTAAAATAGATGCAAAGCTTAAACTTATGGCCTTAATTAATGCATAAGAAATTGTAGTGAAAATTAATATATATTTTAAAAGGTAAATCTTAAAGTCTGAGGAGTAATTAGGTAAAGAGAGAAAACAGAAACATCATCTTGTTTAAGGACCTTACGCGTTTTCCATAGCGTGCAATCATTAGCCACAGATGTTTCTCCCCAGATGACCTTGTCATGACAATGAGGAGGATGATACAACTACATTATTCCTTATGACATTCAGCTTGAGGCTGCCTCAATTGTGAAAAATCATCTTATTGCTCTGTTACGTATTTATATATCTGTTTTCCTTACAGAACCTTATATAAGCTCCATGCGGACAGAATATATATTCATAAATATATTGAATTAAAAGATTTAATAATTTGTGTTTGAAATTAAAACAGTTGAAATGTTAAAATTTTGTAGAAAATCTACTTTTCAGCTATAAAAAAATAAAACGTTTATTTACATTGCATGATACTCTCAAACATGAAGCACAAAACTTTGATGTAGTTCACAACAAAGAACTATAAAATAGGGGAGTTATAGTCAAAATTTTTAAAGCCAAAGAATTTAGCATGTTTTCAGATGACATGATACTCTACACAGAAGACCCCCAAAACTCTACCAAAAGGCATACAGTTTTAATCTCCAAATTCAGTAGTGTAGCAGGATACAAAATCAACACTCAAAAATTAATAGTATTCCTGTATACAAGCAATAAATTCACTGAGAGAGAAATTAGAGAAACCACAGCATTCACAATACCAGAAAATGGAAAGATATCTTTTGTCCATAGGAAAAATCAGCACAGTGAAAATGGCCATATTCCCAAAACTGCTATACAGAGTTGATGCACTCTCAATTAAAATGATATTAGTATACCTAACAGACATAGCGAAAACATTTCTAAAATTCATTTGGACCCAGAAGAGACATAGAATGCCAAAAGCAGTTCTGGGCAACAAAAGCAAGTCAGGGGGTATCACAACCCAGACCTGAAATTTTACTGCAAAGCTACTGTAATGAAAATCAACACAGTATTGTTAAAAGAAAAACATGTCTGAGGATCAGCAAAACTGAACAGGATACAGACATAATCCCAAACACCCTTGGCCACCTTATCTTTGACAGAAGAGCCAAACATGTTCACTGGAAGAAAGATACTCTCTTTAATAAATGATGTTGGAAGCACTGGCTTTCCACATGTCAAAGACTAAAACTAGACCCATATGTCTAAATGGATCAAAAATCTAAAAATTAAAACAGAAACACTACACCTACTGGAAGGGAAAATAGGTAGAAATCTCGAATACATAGATATAGTCAGAGACTTCATGAACAAAACCCAGACTGCAAGGGAAATATTACAAAGAATCAACAAATGGAATATCGCCTTATTAAAAAGCTTTTGCACAACAAAAGAAATCACCAACAGAGTGAAAGATAACCCACAGGTTGGGAAAAATTTATAGCCAGTTGTCCCTCAGACAAAGAACTAATATATACAAAATATAAGGTATTGAAAAATTCAGGCCCCCAAGTTCAAAGACCCTGTCCAAAAACAAAGAAATACAAATGGCAAATAAATGCATGAAAAAATGTTCATCATTGGTCGTTCAAGAGATGCAAATTAAAACAACACTGAGATTCCATCTCACCTCAAAAAATCAACAAATAGCAAAGGCTGGCAGGGCTTTGTGGAAAAAAGAACTCTTCTCCACTGTTGGTGGGAATGTAGACTGGTGCAACCATTGTGGAAATCAGTGTGGAGATTCCTTTTAAAACTAGGACTAGTGCCAAGGACATAGCTCAGTGGCTCAGCACCTACCTGGCAAGAATGAGGTCGTGAATATGATTCCTGGTACTAAAAAAAATTTTTTTAAACAAAGATGAGAGGTCCCATTTGACCCAGCTATTTCCCCTTCAGGGTTTTTTCCCAGAAGAACTGAAAACATCATACCACAGCAATATATGTGCACCCATGTTTTAGCAGCACAGTTTGTAATAGCTAAATCTTGGAAACAACCCAAATGTCCATCAACTGAGGAATGGATAAAAAAAGATGTAGGATGTTTTAATATATATATATATATAATAGAGTACTATTCAGCCACAAAGAAGGATAAACATGAGACTTTACATTTAGAAGATTATACATTTATACACAAGATAGGTAAGATAGTTATCCAGCTAGTTTGTCTTAGTTCATTGAAAAGGAAGCTTTGAAGTAATATTGTTTGGACAAGATTTCAATAACCACTACAAAGATAACAATCTGCAATATATTAATTATCATTACTCTCCTACTAGCTTGTTTCGAAGCTCTATTTTATCATTATTTGTATTTTTGTCTCTTTAAAATAAAAAAAATTTAGTATGAATGTATAATCCAAACAAAGGAAGTTACAGGAGAGAATCTCACCTCGACAAACCAAAAATTACACCATTTTTGCAAGAGTTGAACTTCAAATTTCATGCTGATGCTTTTCAGAAGCCAAAGCAAAAAAGGGAAACATGATCATGTAGAACTTTTACTTTTGTTAGTCCCAATATCAACTAACTGAAAGAAGCAAATTACCATATTTCTATACCTTAGCTATAGAGGAATACAGAGTCATCATATGATATGCTCTGTGGCATCCCCAGAACATAATACAGTAAGACACATTTACAGGTATTTGTCAGTCCCTTCTGCAATGAAAACCCGGAATCATACAGCAGAGGCCATGCATGGCAATTCATACTAAGACAATCTTGCCCAAGGATATAGTCTTCTAGTCCCTAAGTCAGAGATAAGCAAACTTCAGACTCCAGGGCAAGTCTAGTACATTTACTATGCTTGTAAATAAAGTTGTGTTAGAGACAAACCATGGACCTTCAGTTACTTAGTGACTATGGCTCCTGTGTCTCATGCTGCATAATAGTATTTGCAATATTAAATACTAAAATATTTACCATTCAATGCTTTCAGAAAAGGTTTGTTGATTTCTGCTTTAAACTGAATCTTTATTATTATTACTTTTGTTCATATAGCTTTTGATAAAAGTTGAGTAGCAAACAGTTTATTGACTTGAGTAGGATTTGTTAATTAGGCAAAATCGTATAGAATTTTCAACTTTTGAAGTCTCGTGAGCTGTAAAAATTCAATTTCCTACAGTTCATTCTGTCTATCACTTGTATTATAAAAATTAAATACCCAAATAAATCCTTTACTTGGGTGGGAGGTGACATAGACATACAACAGACATGATATAGTGTTAAGCAAAACCATAATATTTCTGAAGAAGGAATTTTAATCTCCCTACAACATAAAGCCAGACCTAAATGTTACCCTTTCCTACTATCCCACATAACAGAAAGAAAAAATGCCAGCCATCCTCATAAAAACCCAATTTAAAGACAAACTATCCATTAACATTAGTTTTTTATGCTTATAGTAAATGATATAGCTGCACAAAAGAATCAGTCATGATTCCATAGAATTGGCCCTGTCCTGAAGATAAAATGGGCCTTTACTGTGTCCTTCCTTCATTAATTAATCATACATAAGATTGTTTATGAGACATTGAATAAAAATGTGGATAAATCAGCCTGTCTACTGGAAACATAGCAAGTGGAAACATCAGCAGATGCCTCACATCAATTAAATTGTCAATAATGCATGTTTACTTCAGGATAGATTCAGATCCTTCTTACATGTGTAATCAATATATTATTAATTCCCTACTATGTGCATATTGTGCTAGGGATTATAAAAATATATATGGCTCAGGTCTTCTAGGGCAAATAACTTTAAACCTAACTGGTGAAAGACATATTAAAAAGCTCACAAAGCATGTCCTAATAAAATGCTAAATAAATAAAACATTCAATTATTTAAACTTTACATACTATGTTAAATTCACTCTCCATGAAATTCAAACAGGAAAAAGGTCGAGAAGCCCAGATTCCAGGCCTGACTGTGTCATTTCTTAGCAAGAATGTAAATTATTTTATTTAATGATGTGAAGTTTGTTTATTTTTCTGAATTGCATGCTCTTCAGTGCTTGAGAAGCCTAAAATAATGATCCCACAGCCACTAACAACCAGTGTTCTTCTGAGTGCTGGGTTTCAGTGGAAGAGCTTTTAGAGCACTGTTTCAATTGCTGTTGGCCTCCATCTGCATTTTTAAAGTTTTTTTTTAATATTTTAAATATCTTAATATTTAAAACTTCTCCAAAGAGATCTGGGATAGATGCTGACACACTGGGCACCACCGGCGCATTAACTCATGTTTCTAATTTGACTCCTTTTTAAATGAGTCTCAGAATAAAGAATTCTGTAAGAATACTCTGAGATTCCAAAGGACTAGCTAATTAGGCTTTTTTTTAACATTGTGTAAATACACATAAAAACACTAAGATAAATTAGGTGCTAAGGATTGTGTGAAATTACAAGTTTCAATGTAGCTCTGATTTCAACATTTGTTCAGTTTTGTTTTTTGTTACTGGGGAGTGAATGTAGGACCTTCACCCTCAGCTACATCCAAAACTCAAGCCCTTTTACTTCTTTTTTTTTTTTTTTTTTTAATTTCACTTTGAGACAAAGTTTCCCTAAATTTCTCAGGCTGTGCTCAAATTTGCAGTTTTTCTGCCTCCGCCTCCCAGGGTTTGTTCTGGGATTACAGGTAAGTGCTACCTGCTCAAGTTTTTGAATTAATCAAAACGCACCACTGGTTTCATTTATTGGCTATATAATAAATTAATTTACTTAATTTTAACTCATAAAGTTATTTTTACTAAGAAAATTCCCTCTGCTTTTATATTGTAGAGTATCACTGAATATTTTATTGAAGGAATTTATTTCTGCTAAAAATTTTAAAGTGCACTAGAAAATGTGATCTGAAAAGCATTTTACAAATCTAATAGCTTATGTTCCCTTGAGAAAGGCTCTGCTTTAAAACAAAAACACAAAACTAGCTCATGTCATGAGATTTCATAGTACGTGAGTTCCTCGTATGCGCACCATACCTGAAGCAACTCTCAGACAGTGCTTAGTAGTTAGCTTAGTAGTTAAGAGTGTTTCTCTCCCCACTCGGTTTGCACAACACCTGCAATTCGATCAGGATGTTTAGGGCGGGTCTGTACTTCCCTGATGACATTTCAGTTCTGGGCAAATGCCAACCTGTGAAAGATTCTCATCTCGAGTCTGTTTCCCTTCTTGCAACATCGGCTGTACAGTTGCCAAAACATCAGCCTACAGAGGGAACATCTCCTTTTACTCACTCCCAACCACTCCTTGACTCAATTAATCAACACTTAGTCCTACAAACAAAGCCAGCATGTTTTCCCCTTCATATTCACAATCCACCTGAAACAATCTTCACCAACCACAGGGGTCCCTCTTAAAAATGTTCGTTATATCCTAAATACTGAGCTACTCTCTACAGTTTTTCTTTGTTTTTGTTGTTGCTCCTGTCGAAGAGGACTTTGTAAGATTTAGACTGCCAAAGTATTCATTATCTAAAGAGATCTCGGCGCCTTAACATAATCCTGCACAGGAATAAGAAAGTCATGTTTACTGCTGCCCACCGTAGTGTTTTTAACTATTAATCTCAATAGATGTTCACCTTACGTGTCATCAAGGAAATGCAAAATTGAAACAACAGGGAAACACCGTACCACTGCACACCTCTACAGTTACAAAATCCGAAACACTGACAACAGCAAATGGCGCTGAGCATGTGGAACACGAGGGCTCATTGAGAAGGCAATGGTATAGCTTCTAGAGAAGACAATTCGGCCAATTCTTACCAAACTTCTTGTGACATGATCCAGCAGTCCTACTTATGTCCACACAGCAACCTGTGCGTGGCTGTTTGGCATCCAGTCATAACTGTCAAAATGTGAATACAAGATCAGTGTCCTTCAGCAGATGAAGGAAATTCTCATACATCTGGAATTTGAAATTGTATTCAATGCTAAAATGAAATTAGCTATGAAACCATGAAAATAGGGGCTGGGGATTTAGCTCAGCGGCATAAACACCTGCCTTGCAAGCAGGAGGTCGTGAGTTGGATCCCCGGTACCGATAAAAAAATGAAAAAGACAAAAAAAAAAAAAGTCAGAAAATAATGGAGGAAACTTCAATGTATATTACCAAGTAGAAGAAACTACAGTTATAATTTCCAACCTGATGACATTCTAGAAAAGGCAAAGGGTATAAATAGTAAATAAGTAAATAAATAAATAAATGTGAATGTCAGAAGTTAAGCAGGAACAAGGGAGAAATAAATAGAGCCCAAAATTGCATAGCAATGAGAATTTTCTGTATAATACGATCATGACTCATTCCTCTCATATGCATTTTTCCAAACGCATGTATAACAAATCTAACAACATAAACTAAAGGTTTTGTGTGATTATATCAATATGAGCTCATCAATCACAACAAATGTACCACTCCACTGGTAGACATAGATACTGGAGGAAGTTGTATATATTGAAGTAGGAAAGCAGAACAGATGAGAAATCTCTGTACCTTTCTCTCCATTTTGCTGGGAATATAACACTTCTCTTTTTAAAAATCTTTAAGTCAAAACTTTTAACTTCCTCAGTACATACCAAGAACAGCCCTAATGTTCTCACATGGTGTTTCCTGATTTTGATCCACGCTGGGAACCAATTTCCTAGCAAATAAAAATGCTAGAAAGATAGTTTTGACCACCAAGCAGTGGCTTAGTATGTTCAAAGGACAAATCTAAAGAAGCAATCCCGTTTATAATGGACATAGTCGCCTAAGAAAGAAATCTATGGGAAAGGAAGCTGTATTTATCTACACCTGGGTCTGAATTCTGTTAGAAAGACTTTTTCCTCCCTCGTCATTACATTTTTACTGTCAGAGACAATTTATGATTGCTTAGATTGCTCAAAGGAGTTAAATATTTATACTTTCTTGGAACTCTTAAAATCAAGAGGAAATAGTATTTTTTTTAAAAAAAAGAGGAAACTGCATCTGGTAGAAGTGGTCTGCTGGAATGATCAGTGGGCTGAGGACACTGTAGTGGATGATGTTATCAGATTTGGTGAATTATTTAGTCTTGGGCTTGTGAGTGGGTAGAAATAGTAAATGGCTAAATTCTGCCACATTCACTTTTTACTGAGGTTAAGACAGTATGAATTTAAAAAAAAAACCTACCCCAGCTCTGTTCTGCATGCACAGGTTCACTGCGTAGATAATACACACATAGAAGCATGTTTATCTTTAAATATCTGGAATATAATAATGAACGAGATAAACAAATCATAAAACCAATGAATGAAGTGAAAATCTCCACTGTGGCCTCCAGTACTCTGTCCATGCTTACAACTCCTTCTCCTTAGCTTTCTGCTCATGCCTCAGTTCCCCAGTGAACCTAGTGTCCTACTTGTTTGTGACTTTCCATCTGCCATCCCTTTTCTGGGAATTCTCTCCTAGTTCTTCATAGGGAACGTTTTAAATTTAAATCCATTTTTAACTGATACATAACAGCCTAAAATCATACATATTTATGAGGTGCCGTGTGATGTTTTGATACCGGCAAACATTATGCAATGCTTAAATTGAGGTAAACATATCTCTTTCCTTAAACATTTATCTTTTCTTTATGGTGGAAACACTCAAAGTCTTTTCCTCCAGCTTTTTGAAATACACAGTACATAATTGTTTTCTGTAGTCACCCCCTGTATGCCAGCACATTAGAAGCCCTTCCTCCTGTCTGAATGTCACTGACAGCCATCGCTCAGTCTTTCCCCATTCTTCCCTCCACCTGTCCACTCTCCTCCTGTGACAGGAGCTCTTTATTCCACGTAGTAACATATGAGAGTAGTGACTTCGAAAAGCAGAGGCTCATGAGCCTGGACTCCAGGAATCAATGTAGAAAAGTGATTAGAATATAGTCAAGTGCTCAGTTGTTATGGATCATGATTGCTGTCACTGACTTGTTCATCTTCTGTCTCCAAATTAGATATTACCTCCCCCAAAAAAGAAGACATCCCCAAATGCTGAGTGGAGCATTTCTTCTGCCACTTTTCCTTCTCCAATTTTTTCACTCGCTATTTGTCCTTGTAGCTCCCTTCCTGCAAGTGAAGTCTGCCTTAATAACAGCCTGTTGTAGGGAAGATACATTGTAGGACAGATTTTATTTTTAATAGGCAAAAAAGTTTCTCTAGTTTCCACAGGTTAGAAAATACATATATGTTACGTGGTGATGGTGACAAAAGTTTGTACTTATTTTTAAAGAATGACAGCACGCATGGGTTGAGAGCACAGAAGTTTATTATTTATAGGAAAAGAGACCAGAATAAGGGAACAGATGATTCTGTAGAACACGAAGCCTTTTTCTGAGCAAGTCAATGGAATAAAATCTCTGGAGACAGTGGCTAGAAAGGAGCTAAGAAGATTTTCCATGTTTTCAAAACTAAGACAATTCTACTAATTTATATTAAATTTGTATGAGAAAAAAAGGATTGAAAAGAAGGAAGTCTTGAGAATAACATTCTAATCTCCTCAGAGACCAAAACTCTTATCCCTTCTAGAAAATTATGAAATTTTCACTTTATAAAAATCACTGCCCAAAAAATGTATTGGCTGAAAACATAAATACATTCCAGAAATTTTAGGTCAACTCTTGTACAATTTGTGTAGTGAGTAATTCAAGATAGCATTTAGTTCCTGATTTATGAAAATTTTCCTTCCTAGAGGCAAAAATCTGGAAGGCCAAGTCCCTTAGGGTCCATATTAGAAAAGTTCTGGTGTAGAATTGATGATTACTTTGACCATTCCTCCCCTCAAAATGAGCATCCTGATATTCTGACATTGTTTCTTCATGTTCCTTTATCGGTTTATTTCTTTGCTCTTCCCCGTCTTCAGATCAAATGAAAAGAGAAGATAAATTGCCAGTGTAAGGTAGATATGAATCGAAACATTTTGGAACAATCAGTTCTTTCCTCTTCTTCCAATATGCATTCTCCAACCTAAAATTACCCCATTAGAGATGGTAAGAATCCAGATCTCTAAGTTTCTCTGACAGTGATCTCTTCACTGGATACTTCACCAGCATTTCTCACCATTCCAGCTCCAATCCAACTTTCTCACTTCACAATCATTTTACAAACAAGAAACTTAAAGCCAAGAAAGAATGAACAACTGATCAGGTTAATTCCAGATCAGTAAAGGAAATGATAGCACAATTCATGACCAATAAATTTCTTGACTCATAGATGAAGCAAGAAACAAATTGCTTCATTACATGCCTGAAATAGCTATTAGCTCTCAAATTTGTTCTTATAAGGGCTCTTGCCTGGCTCTTGTGTAACCTTTTGGAATGAAAGAAAGGGAAAGTTATGTCCTGTGAGGGTGGGTGGGAGGCCATCAAGATGGAGGGGGATGGGTGGGGTGCACAGAGAGCTAACCATGGCAGCTCGCTGCAGCAGCTGTGAAGCAGCAGTGGACCCTTGGGCCAACAGGTCTGACTCAGACCAGGAAACAGTCAACATCATCAACTTTGTCTTTGCAAAGGGAAGGTTTTGCTACCAGTGAAAACGCAGGCACTTGTCACACAAGTGAAATATATATATATGTATATATATATATATATATGTATATATATATATATATATATATATATATATAGAAAGAGAGAGAGAGAGAGAGAATATATATATATGGCATATACAGACATATACATATGGTTTATATATGGGTGTTTACATATATATGGTTTATTCAACATTTGCCACATATAACACCTCTCCTAAGAGTTCTGAATACATTTTCCCACTTAATTCTTATAAAAACCCTAGAATAAAAAGAACACTAGCTTCATTTTAGAACAGATAAAAAAATGACTTGGAACAATTAACTTCCCTGAGATCACACATTACTACATGAAGAAACCAAGTTTCAAATGAAGTACCCCTGATTCTAAAGCCTTAAGTACAGATAACAAAGCTTCCTGAGTGAATGAAAATTGATTTCCATGAAGAAAAATTATATGCCAGTCTTTTACTACTGCTTTCTTTTTGAGATTGCAGAATGTTTTATTGTTATTGGCTTTCATAAACATGTCTTTGAAGCATGTATAATCAATAGATATGTATTCCTTATATGTGCATAAATGCTCATACTAGCAGGGGCCAGTTATGATTGATAATAATAATAATAGGAACTGATAAATAAGGTAGCCGTAGTAAGTTCTCTGCCCCTACCAACACTCAAACGGCTTCAAAGGATCAGAATTAGTATTAATCAGCTGTAAGATCAGTGTTCAATAAAGAAGCAACTAGAGAAAGAGTCTATCAAAAAGTTCTGGAGTCAACATTCCCTGTCTTATTTTCACTACTGATAATATAGCGTGAAAGTTGGGTTAGTCAGCTTTCTGTTACTGTAATAATACACTTCAGATGATCTGCTGAAAAAGGGGGAAGGATTTATTTTGACCCATGGTTCTCAACAGTGCAGTTCATGACTGACTGGCTCTGTTGCCTGTGGCAGGAGGATATGGTGGAGACAGCCTTCCTCTCACGGAGAGGGGGAAGTGAAGGGAGAAATGCAAGAAACCACAATTCCACAATTCTCTTCAGGGGCACAGCCACAAAGGATCTCTTGCTAGGCTCCGAATCTTAAAAGGTTCTACCACTTCCCAATAACTCCAATCTGAGGACCATGGCCTTAACCCTCAGGCCTTTGAAAACAATTCCAGATTCAAGCTGTAACAGAAGATAATGGGTGTAGGTTGTACCACTATTGGCCTCAAATAACTGGGTATTATATTTCAGCCCATGTCCCATTCCCACTATCACTGTGTTCTTCCAAATATAACCACCACCTCCGATTCATGACCAGAACCATTAAATAAAAAATTTAATAACAAATGCAATGAATTTCTTTGATCTGCCTTTATTAAATTTATAAAAAACAACAACTTACTTCTGCCATAAATTAGCTCTTTATAAGCTTTATGCCCAGATGTTTCAGAATTAGGTGATATACATCGTCTACTGGTTTTGGGGGGTGAGGTTGGTATTGGGAATTGAACTGCAAACCTTGTGCTTGCCAGTTAGGTGCTGTGCCACTGAGCTATATCCCCATACGTACTATATTTTGTTTTCTATGAAGAGAATAGAAAGAGAAATCACTGCAGATAGCACATCCTTTTCGAACTTCCTTTCAACAGTTACTAAGCAATCAAAAAATACTTGCCCCCTTCCTTTCAGCCAGAGCCACCATCTTCCAGTAATCTGCCAAAATGACAAACACAAAGAGAGAAAACTCAATGTATCTTCTCTTGATTTTTTAAAAACTGTGGGGTTGTTCCTTTCCACATACATGCAAATCTACAAAAAGAGTGACACTGCAGACATCAAGGGAATGGATAGAGTGCCACACGAATGTCACCGTGCAAAACAGGAAGGGTTTACAGAGTTACCCAGCAAGCTGTTGGTATTGTTGTAAACGAGCAAGTTAAGGGCAAGATACTTGCCAAGAGGACTAAT